CAACATGCAATGCGAGGCTAGTAAGAAAAGTAACAGTCCCAGCTACAAATGCAACAATAATAACATTTAGACATACATACATACATACACATATAACAGCAGTATTTTAACAGCAACGCCTTTTGATAGCGCGCTCTGCTCCAGTCGCCTTTTCAATTAGACGCGAAAAATGGAAATAAATATTAAATAAAAAAAAAAACTAAAGCGAAACCGTCGGCAGTTAAAATGAATTAGTAGTTTGTAGTCGGCGTTATTATTATTATTATTGTTGTTGTTGTTGGTAATGAACTCCCAAGTGGAGTTGTGGTGGAGGCGGCAACGAAGCGAGCCGGCCAGCCAGCATTTAATGGCCTGGTTGTTGTAATTAGGCGCATCAAAAGCACAAACACGCATACAAGCATATAATGTATGTATAACGGCACATGAGTTAAGGGGTGCATGTTAATTTCTGAGATACTTATGTATATACATATAGTATTTGAAGCAATATTTACTTGTGATTCGATTTAAAAATAGTCTAGTGGAAAAATTCATTACTTTCTTTTCATTTCAATTTAAATATATATTTATATGCATGTACTTATGTATGTATATGTGCTCACAAGTTGCTTGACTTGTCATTATTTATACAGATTGTATAATAAATATGCCTTTTATCTTTTAGTGCGCCATACACACACCCACACACACAGACACAGACAGAGACACATGCTATATTCATACATATAGACAACTACACACGCACGCATCGTTACGACTGCACAAATACACGCAAAAACGTAAAAGTTTCGCTTTCTTTTTGCACACAATTTTGCATGCGCAGTAGCCGGACGTAGTAAAATGAAAAACTAAAGCAGCACCAACAGCAACAACAACAAATACATATACCACAACAATACAAAAAAAAAAAAATATTTTAGCAAAAGCCGGAAAAAAAAACTGCAGACATTTTTCATACACTATGTGCGTCGACGCAGTGAGTGCTGACTGCGACGCCAGCAGAGCGAACAGGCGTTAAATGCAGCAGTTTTGTGTTTGTGTGTGAGATGTTGGGGATGCTGCTCCCTACACTTGTCACAACGCAACAGCATTGACGCTCTCTGCTCTCGCGGTAAACCGCAAATTGCCGGCTGCTGGTCTGTTCGTAACAGCTGTTAGACCGATCTCTCTCTTTCTCTCTCTCTCTGCCCGTCATACAACCAACCAGGCTGGTTGCTTCAGAATATAACGCTGTCTGCTTCAGATGCAGATGCAATCCACAAAGGTAAGATGAATTGAATTTCATTTAAGAAATTATTGCATTGCTCATTAGTTCAGTAGCATAAGCTTTAAAGGAATTGTCTATTAGAGTGGGCGCATTAGAATGCATTTGAGACAAATATAACAAAGTATTTCAAAAATATTGCGGATTGAAAATGAAAAAATTTTATGTAAAAACTTATCTATGAGTAGATTTTTTTTTCATATTAGTGTTCCACGTAGAAAGGGTTGAGGTGTAAAGAACTTTTAATAATAACATCATCGTTCTAACATTGGCAATAGCAGTAATAACAAAATTTGTTATCAGTATTTGGCCAAAAGTTCATTGTTTTTCTTTTTGTGGATTGCATTTGGTTGCTTATGACGGTTTTTTATCATGCTTTTCTTTTTTGTCTTTTTTCGTGAATTCGTTTATTGCGCCGCAAGCAGCCGGTTTTATGTGCTGCGTCCGCCGCCTCCTCAGCGCGTTCCACGTTCTACGCGAGTTCCACTGATTATGCGCGTCGCTCGCTAGCTACATATGTATGTATGTGTGTGTGCGCGTTGGTGGTTGACCGGTAATTTTCTGCTACCGCCATGTAGGAAAGCCGGCGCGTATACACTTGTATATATTATGTACATACATACATAAGTGTATATGTACCTTTAACTGTTTATTAAGCATATAATACCTTGGCATATGCCCATTTACAAATGTATTTGTAAACTCCCCCCAACAATTCTTACCCGGAAAACGCATTCAATATGGCCGCTAAATGGACTTTTCTCTGTGACTCTTTCGCCATTCGTTACATGCGCATTTTATTAAGCCAATTATAGGTTACTCACTAACGCCAACAAACACAAATGTTATTTTTGCATTAACAATTGGCAAAGCCCGCAAATAGTCAAAGCTTAACCTAAAAATGTCAATCAAATATTGTCACACACACATACACATACACGCAGCACGCACATACCTGCCCAAGGTGCGACAACAACAACAATGAAAACAATAACAGCCGCCGCAGCCTAATTATTTGTCTTAGTTGTGTTGTGCGTGAACTGTGCGCTACAGTTCCTATAAAATTTAAATAAACAGAAAGGCAAGTGTAAACAGCAATACAAGCAGCGCAACAATAATTAAGAAAAGAAAAAAAGGTACAAACTTCACGCGCGCGCAAAAATTACAGCAACAACAACAAATCGCAATGACGCCAGCTCGCCAGCTCGCCAGCCGCCCCAAAAGGCCAAACGACCCACAAGGCAGCTGTGCAAGCGAGATAGCTTGCGGCACACATTAACATAACGGTGCTTATGACAAAATGCGACAAAAAAGACGACAACGGCAAGGCAAACAAGTTGCCAGCAGCAAACGTAAGACAAAAGTAGGATGGCGGGCTTACGAACTGTTAAGTTGCTGTTAAGTTTTAACAGCAGAGCAGCGAGAAAACAAAACGGCGTGGGTGCGCGCAAAAAGCCAAAAATAATTGCCAAGTGGTAGTACAAATACAACAACAAGACCCACAAAATAAAATGCGTCGCAAAGTATTGTGTGCCATTAAATAAATATACAAGCACGCTCTCACCCATACACAGACACAAGCAGGCAGGCAGGCGGGCCGGCAGGCAGCCAACGCAAGGTGGGTGGGTGGAAGCGACAAGTATATACTTGTATGTATGTACTATATATAGAAAGGCGGCTCGGATTGCCGATGTTGAGCCGAGCCAAAAATATTCAGGATGCAGTGGGCACAGCATATTTAAAGAAAGTGGCGGATAGGACTGGCAAATGGCAAGCCAGCCATTCGTGTATGGAAGTAGGCATTAAACAAAAGCACATGCACACACACACACACACACATACACAGAAACATGAACAGTAAATATTCAATGCCGCCTGCGGTGCACTCAATGGAAACTTCTAAGGCATTTATGCCTATCCGCTACATACTTAGATATGTACTTTATATACATGTACATACATTCATATAACTTTACTCATAAACATGCACAATAAAAGGCAGCTGCTTGCGTTTAGCTCGAGTTTTTTTGCATTGGGGGAAAGCCCCCTATCGATAGAAAATCCACACGAATGGCAAATTGAAACTACAGAGACTTTTGTGTTTCATATACATTTACATATAAGGAATTCAAGTACTGACGCTCACTTTTTTCCAAGAAACAGATAAGTCTAGAGATAAGATTAGTAACGTAATTATTTTCGTAACGGTTGAACTGTTCGCATGATGATAAAGAAGCCTAAAATATATCGAAAGATTACAGTTTATTTACAAACATTTATTCACATTAAGTAATACTTGAAAGAGTTTGTAGTATTTGCAGATTCTATATTTTTTAACCGATAAACGTTTTTAACTTAACCTTAGATCGACAATAGATTGAAAGACTACATTTTGTTTTGAAAATCTCTAAAAATGTGAAATGGAATACGGATCTATTTTGCTCAAACAAAACCATTCTTAAAACCTTTATCTTTCCATGCAGCGCACCTAACGTCTGAGTGTTTCGAGAAAGGCTTTCAGCACATTCCACAATAAAGGACAGAGAAAGCTCTGCCATGTGCACAATAAATAGCAACTAAGTTTTTCTTTTTCCATATACCATACATAACTGAATGCTGAGCACAGCGTTTATTGTCAAAAATGTCATAAATACATACATACATAGGCACCATGTACATATGGATGTTTCTACATAGGAGCATCATAAAAGTTTGCCTAGAATAGCAGCAGCAGCCAGCCAGCCATCCAGCCAACCAGCTGAGCGCATTCGGATTTTCCGGCACCCCACTCTCTCTCTCTCGCTCTGTATTGCTTATTCAAAAGAAACAAAGCAGTGTGCCAACATCTGTTAACTAACAGCCGCCGGCGCTACGTATGGAATGAACTTTTTACACAAATAAATCTCACATAATTGTTAAGTATTACTCGAAACTTACTAAATGGAGCACAAGCCGGCATCGCCTTAAGCTAACCCTTATAACCCTTCAGGTTTGTTTGAAGTCGCATTAAACTGCTGTAACCATCAATTAAACATGATTTCTTTTTAACATTTTCACACAAAACGCCGACGGCAGAGCTCAGGCAAAAGGAACAATAATACAACAAAAACATTTAAAGGTTATTAACAGCTTATAGATAAACGACTGGGGCCAGCCAATAGGTTTCTGATTCGAAAACAAAACAAACGAAATGATTAATTATCGTAAACGATTCAAAAATGGTAATCCCCCAAACTTACTCTGTAATTTTCGGTTTGATAAGCTAAATACTATTTTCCTCATTATTTAACACAACATTGAGGCATAAACTAGTTTTAATATTCTGTTCAAATATATAGTTTAAAATAGTGTGTTAAAAGCAAAGCCTCTTCACTATTGTTCGTTTTTAGTTTAGTGAGCCAATCTGCCTTTTAACAATTATAATAATTAACATCGCACTACACACGATCATTTTTATACAGTTTGAGAGCTACTGATAAGATATACATTGTATTAGTATCTTATCTTGTAGCTGTTGTGATTGTGGGCGCAGTTTTCTTTTTATTATTAATTATGTACTACAAAGTTAAAGGCGCGCTGCACATTCGTTAACGTATTGTATTAAAAAATTAAAAATATATGAATATATGTACATGCATATGTACATAGGTGTATCAAAAAAAGAATACAAGTCTTGATTGGCGCCTTCAAATATATTATTATAATTAATTTATAAATATATGTAAGTAACACGCACCTATATTGGAATTTCTTTTTCTATATATATATAGTATATATATATGTATATCACACACACTCGGCTGCCACTGGCCGCCAACGCCTGCCGCACCACCACACACAACAAAATGTGGCTTTGGCTTTCAAGTTGACGTGACGTCGTGGTCGTCGTCTTCGACGCTGTCGTTGTCGCTGCTGCTGCTGCCAACGTCGCTGGCTTTGCTGGTTTGCTGTGGCCGCTCATTTAATATCACACACGTTTCATATTTGCGCTTATATACTACTCATCAACATTATGTATTTACTTTTTCGCCAATGCGCAAAATTTTCTGTTGCTGTTGCCTTTGCTTTTGTGTGGGAAAACTTTTTTACTTTTTGATTGCGTTGCGCGCGTTGTGACGTCAGCAGTTGAAAATTTTTTTAAATTTTGTTTTTGTTGTATATAGATTTATCACATAATTGTTACACACACGCGCGCACCACTTTGATTTGCCGTTAATTTGTTGTTTTGCATGCAGTCTTGGTTGTGTGAGTGAATGTTTTTTCCTGATTCTTTCTTTTTTACAGTTTTCACATTTTGTGCACCGCGATCGAACTTCATGGGCCACAACGTAAACGCAAAGTGAGTGCCGGTCGCGGTTAGCTCTGCTGCCTTTGGAGCTGCTGCCTCTGCTGCTGCTGTTGATGCGGCGGCCGCTGCTGCTCGTATGTAGTAAATGGAGTTCAAAGCAAGCAGCAAAAACGGCCCAGGCCAGTCGGCGCTGTGCGTCGCAGTCGGCAAAAAAAAAACACAACAATAAAATTAACGAAATCCACAGCAAAGCAAAGCGGCGAATCGAGACAGTGAAGAGCGTCGCGAGAGCACTTCGAGAGAATGCAATGAGAGAGCGCGCGCGTTTGTTACGGGAAAAATAAAATACATATATCACAGTTAGGAGAACACGTAAGGCACAACGCAATGTGTAGTTGAGACAGGGCGCGCCTTGTTGTTGCGTTGGCCGGAATGGAATGAAAACCCAAGGCGGATCCTTCTTGTAGTTCTAGCACTTTATACAGTAAACGTAACTGCATTCAACCTTCTCGTGCTGCTTATTATGAGCGCCCACAAAATCTAAGCGATTCCTTCTTGGTCTTGTTGTAGGCGGCAAGAATATTATTCTTTTTGTTGTAACTATTTGGCAACAATTTTATTGTCACGTCACAAATGCACACATATTTTCATTGTTAGAATCACTTTTTACAGTAAAATTAACTGCATTAAATTGTTGTTGTTGTTGTTGCTGCTGCTGATTAAATGCGCGACCGGCTTTCACGTACATATGTATATATGTACATTGTATATACACGAACATAAATGTGTGTATATTACGTTTTGCGTGTGTATGTGTGTACTTGTTGGTTGGTTTGTCGTTCACAATTTTTGTAGCTTTTCGTTTCGCTGGCGACAGCAGCAGCGGCAGCAGAGCAACCGGAACACAACAACAACAGCAACACTGGCGACGGCGGCGGCAGCAGCAACAACAAACAGACAAACACGACCAGCAGTGTGGAGTGTGAACGAAAAACTGATTGCGGCGAATGTCGCGAAAATGCTAAAGAGGCAGAAAAATGTTCATTCGTGTGTGTAGCCGAAGCGACAATCAAATTTGTTGCGGCGAATTTAGAGCGGCAACGAGAGCGTGTGAGAGAGCGCACACGTAACAGTGAACGCAAGCAAGAGAGTAACACAACGTAACGGAAGCTGGTATTAGTGCGCGTAATTTAGTGTGTGTTACAGACATACGTGTGTGCTTATGTGTGATTTTGCGCTCCACTAAGCCAACACAATTGTGTTTGTGTCGAACATTGTTGTTGTTGTTGTAGCATAAGCATTTGCATTTTACTAACATATGTTTTATCTTTTCTATATATATACATATGTATGTGTGTCCATAGATATGTATTAACAGATCATATTATTAATAAATTATTTATTTATTAAAATAAAATAGATAAAATTATTTTAGTTTTAAAATAAATACAAATAATTCATTTTTTTTTATTTTAAGCAAAGGTTGGCATGCCTGAAAACGTATCAATTATCATTCCTTTTTTATATATTAAGAAAATAATAAATCTAACAAATAAATGGCAAATCAACTTTTAACATACCATAATTCTAAAATAGAAAATAAAAAAGTAAATGTAAAATACTTGACGTGCAACGCCAGCATTTATTTGACAACTTTATGTAAACAAATCTGCTAACAATATATTCATTTCAATAATATTTTCATTTAGCGACGCTAAACAACCATTCGATGTTTTTTGTTAAATAACGTTAATCATTGAATAATCAAAAACAGCAGTCGATGTTGCATCGTTGGTTGCTTTTTCTTGCATCCCTAACTAATATGGTAGCGTGTGTTTGTTGGTGTGGAACGCAATGTGGGCTAGTTGGTTGTTTTTGTTGCTGTATGGCTGTGGCATGTGGACACTAGACGCGCGCATGCCTGTGTGTGTGTGTGTGTGTGTGTGTTTGCTCGCCTAACAAGCCGGCTACAAAAATTGTAGCTGTTCGCTCGCCCGCGTTTTTCTTATTAAGACGGAAGTGACGTACCAATTGAGACAGTGACAGCGCAGTCAACGTCGCCCCACACCCAACCCAACAGTAATTTACTTCAGTTTTTCTTTATCTTTTTCTCGGACAAGTCGCAACCTTTTTGCTTAATGTTGCGTGGCATTTTGTTTTTTCTTTAAAGCTTTGCAACATTGTTGCCAACATGTTATTGATATGCGCAGTGTTGCCAATTTTCAGAGTCGAACGATCAACGGACGTAAGAAGGCATTTAAATGCGTATTTGTCAGAAATACAAGTACGCGGTTTTATTTTATTTTTTCGAGTTAAGTTCATTGAACTGCACAACGAAAAAAAAGGAAAAATAATGTAAAACATCTGCCCAAATATTGTACAACCGAGCCGTATCATCGTTATGTATGTATGTATCTATGCCAACAACTACAACAACAACGACAACAGCAACATTTGCCACTGTCTGTGGCTGCGCTTTAAAAGTGCTCATAAAAATCAAGCAAATTATGGTAAATACGCCTCAAACTCACGCCTCACACAGCAGACGGATAGACAGGCAGACAGATAGAGACAGAGAGAGAGAGATAGCAATAGTAGAAGAACAATATTGCGCGCTACTTTCAATTTCTTGTAGCGCCACGGCCCTCTTAGGGGCAAAAACACAAACACACGCACATTTCCAGTTAATTAAAAGTATTTATGACACTCCACACACATTTTTTTCGCGGCAGAAAAGTACAAAAGTCCACCAAGGATCGTGGGAAGTTCCAAGCCCAGACAAATACACAGCGATCGCATTTTTCAGCTCTCCCTCCCTGCGCATGCGCAAAAAAAAATCTATGAGTGACATTGCGCTGATAGAGCAGACAGACAGACGGAGAGACACAAAAACAAATCTCGCAAAAAAAAAGTTTACTCTAATTGCATATGCAAAGGCAAAGGAAGGCAAAGAAAAGGGCAAAGTTCCTTCTGAGTGGCTCCTGCAACTGATTCTTCTTCTCGCTATTCTCATCCCAGGGGTGGCTGAGCGCCTCTTTTTCTCACAAAGAAAAAAAATTACACTCAGTTTTTTTACACACGCTCTGTCAGAAAAAAAAAACAACAACAACTATGCTGAGGTCTAACAGCAGTGGAAAAAAATTGAATGTTAATTAAAAACTGGTAGGATTACTTTTGGCTGGACTGTAATTATTGTTCGTGTCATTATGGAAAATATATTTGATTTTAATTTTTATCATATTAAAAAATTGTACATATGTACTTATGTATGTATATGTTTGTGTGTATTTTTATTTTTATAAATAATTTTATTTTGTTTATATGTATTTTTATTTTAATATATGTACATATCTTAAAGTTTTTTTATTGGATCAGAATCACAATATATGTATATATATAAGTACATACTATATATGTAAGTATGTAAGTAGCGTGTGTCAAACTCTTTCAGATGATGTTTTACACAAAAGTCTGGCCAGCGTTCAAATAAATCCGATGTCTAGTATTATGTCTCACCCCTTTTTATTTTTCTTTTATTGGGGTGCAAAATTTTTAAAAATGCTTCCTCAGAGGACGTCATTGCTGGCTGCATCCCCAAGGCACTCAAACATACACACACACATATATATATATATATATACATGCGGATATGGGAAACGAAATAGCCAGGATAACGAGGGCGCGCAGGAGCTGTGCGCCGGCAAAATGCAATCAACGAGAAAACTACTTGAGAATCGGAACGACAACGACAAGCGCGACGATGACGATGACGGCGGCAGCGACAGCAACGGCGATGGTTATTCAAATTCGAAAATAAAAGTGAAACAAAACGTCATGCAAAACACAAACAAAAAGCTGCCGTTGCACAAAAAAAAACCATTTAAAGTTCTTTGGCAACGAAAGCCGCCACCGCTGTCGCTGCCATGCACGTTTGACAGAATGTCAGTCAACTTTTTTTCTTGGCTTTTTTTTTTTGTTTGGCAGGCAGCGACTTGTGCTTAGCAGCAACGCCGCTGCCAGCCTCTCCCTCTCTCTGCCGCTTTTCACTCTTTTCGAGATGAGCTCGCTGGGGTGGTGGTTATGTTAGACAGTACATAATGTTATGGTACATGACGCAGCTCTTAAAGTGCAGCAGGCGCACATACATATTCAAAGGCGTAGCCAGCTTTTCGATTGGGGGGCTCAAGTTTTTGCCAAAGGATGCTGCTGTGTATAAAATCTCACCATCGGTAATATAATTGAAAAGTATTTAATAAATTTTCATAGAGTGAACCCAGTATCCGCGCAATTAGAGATATCGTGTATGCATAAAAGTTTAAAATAAAAATAAAATATCCAATTCGTAATAATCAATTATGCAATTTTATAAAAATTATTTACACCCTATTATTTACTTTTATTTCTTTTATGTTTATTTTTATGTAAATTTAGGTTTTTTTTTATTTATTTAATAAAATGTATTTTTATTTATGTTTATTTTGTAATTTTTAACATTTCAAGATAATTTATTTATTATTTATAATATAAATAAAAGAAATGAATTAAATCATTACAATAATCAATAATTTTTGTATTTTGTTGGCTAATGGACTGCCTGCCTTACCCCCCTTTGCCATGGCCATGCCCATTACATGCGTTGGTTGCTGGCTGCGTGCTGTTGTTGTGTCTGTGCGTCAGAGACCAACGGTTGACTGACTTGACGCAACATTTATTGAATTTGCCTGCGCCCAAGAGCACCAGCACTAGCTCTAGCAGTGCTGCCAAAGGGAGAGCAAAATTAATGTTGTCGTTCTGCAAATTGCGCACAGTCCCAGCCATGATGTTGATGATGGGCCATGAGCCATGGGCCATGGGGGCTGGTTGCCGTGGCTTCCACACTGTGGGCAGGAAAGCCTTTTAGTTGCTGTTACAGCGCACTAATTGCAAATTAATTTGATTTGAATGTTAATTATTTTTACAGACACTTCAAAACAGGCAGGAAAGTTGAAAAAAAGCGAACTCTTCATTTTATAATGCATTTTAGTTTAGTTGTGGCAAGTGGTTAACAATGTAGCCCCCTTTAAAAGCAAAAACCACCACAATGGCGCGTAAGAATAACACGCCCTTCTAACCACTCCTCTAACAAAGTTTTGGTATTCAGTCATCACAGAGACTATGACTACTACATTGTTATATATGGCCACATGACTGACTGACTTTGCTGGCCGGCCGGCCAGCTGGCTGGCTTAATTTTGCGTTCAATGAACTCGTGAAATGGCTCAAAAAATCATTTAATGGTCACACAAACCAGCACAGCCCTCCAAAACACAACAAAACTAACACAAATGGTCATAGCAAGTACAACAACAAATACTGGCTAATTATTGTTGTTTAATTATTCATTTAAAAAGTGACAAGAAATTAAATAATCGTGTTAAAAGCCACACTTCTTCCTTTCCAACCAACAGACAACAAATCAAATCGAGATGACCAGCAAAGAGCAATGAAATTTTTCACACTAAACAACACAGCAATTGTAACATTTTATTCATATTTAAGCAGAAATGTTTAATGTTTAATGTTTATACTTTTTTGTATTTCCCACGCGATTTATCTTTACTTGTTAGCAATCACCGAATAAATACAATTCATATTGGAAATAATGATTTGAATAATATGGAAAAAATTTATATCAGATCAGACTTTCAAAAAAGGGAATTTAAATGCAAAAAGCTTGTTTTTAATAGAAAAATTTCCAAGCCCATTCCGCAGCCAAAAAATCGGACTGTAATGTTAATTTACTTCTTTTTTAAAAAATATATATTTTTTTTATGAAATATATAATTCCATTTATTAAGTGCAGAATATCCTGTAGGGAAGTGTAATTGTTGTGCCTTGCTTATTCAGCGACACTAGCGAGTGCTTTGGAATGTAGCGAGTAAATACTGGCGAGTTTTTCAAACTAATGGATGTTTGCTTAATTGTTAGCAATT